GATTGGCCTTTTGATGATGGGGCACCGCCATCCAACCAGATTGTTGATGATTGGTTAAGTCTTGTGAAAATTAAGTTTCGTGAAGAACCTGGTTGTTGTATTGCTGTTCATTGTGTTGCAGGACTTGGGAGGTAAGAGAAATTTTTGAATGCATGTAGTGGTATTTTAACTATAGTAAAGCCTTGATTTAAAAAGTCAAAGTTCAGCTTTTCATGAATTTAAAGTACATCAATACAACTAAAAGTAACATGGCTGCAATTTCCAATATCTTTATCAGCATTTATGAAAATTTGTCACAGTTTACAAGGTGCCTTCCAAGAACACTAATCTTAAACATTTGGGCTTATTTATAATTAAAGTCATAGTTTATTTTGCGGTGTAGTTAAAAACTTGGGTTTAATATGAAGATACTGATTATTCTTTAAATTTTTAAACAGAAAATCAACATTTGCTAGATTAGGGGATGTTTGAAATAATTTTTTCATTGTTTGCTTTTGAAAGAAATTGTTAATCAAATTGTTTACCTTACCAGAGCTCCAGTGCTTGTTGCCCTAGCATTAATTGAAGGTGGAATGAAATATGAAGATGCCGTACAGTTCATAAGGCAGTAAGTATTTCTTGTACCCTTCTTCTCATGCAGTCTCTTATTTCCCCGGTAAATGTCAGGGAATCACTTTATTAAACCCACTCCTCATGGTCAGCAGTTCAAAACTACCAGCTATTGAGCGGGCTAAAAAGTCCTGGTGTGGCGCTGTGGGTTAACGCGCCAGACTGCAAAGCCGTTTGAACTGTTAAGGTCGGTGGTTCAAACTCACCAGCTGCTCCTCGGAAACCCTAAGCAGGGTCGCTATGGGTCAGAATCAACTCGACAGCACTTAACAACAACATAGATTTATAGCCTCAGAAATCCTGTGAGTTGGAACTGACTCCACAGCTCATAACCACCACCTCTACCACTCCTCACCTAGCTTATTATCCAACATTTCACATTTACAACAATTAGTATAACTGTTTCATGTATTAACAATACACAACTGGCAGTAACAAATGCTGAGGACCCTAACAGAGTCCCTGACCATATACCCTTATGGTTGTATTGCTTTGTGTTTTATCACGTGGCATAGTCTCTTTCAGCTGTTGAGATGCCAGGTAGAGTGGGACTTGAGGCTGGGGCAGTGGCAACCAGTATCCTAAAGGTTGTCCAGCCTCAGAAGGAGCACTGAGACACGAGGGTGACTCAGGTATCCACAGCTTGTGGGACCCCATATCAGCTTACTATTTCAGTTCATTTTTTTCTTCTTCTTCTTCTAGGAAGCGACGTGGAGCTTTTAATAGCAAGCAACTTTTGTATTTGGAGAAGTATCGTCCTAAGATGCGTTTGCGCTTCAAAGACTCCGATGGTCATAGAAAAACTGTTGCATTCAATAAAATGGGTGCCTGATGGTATTACTTTGGAAGTGGAACTCGGGACAGGACCTAGTTTTCACGCATATTTACCAACATGTGAGCTTGGTGAATAAAGCTTCCATAAGAGTATTGAAAGCAGTTTTGCCAGGCTTGACAGAATTGCAGTCAGCCTATCTGGACATTTAGCAAATGTTTCTTACTCTTCAGCATTTAAAATGTCGTTATTATTTGTACCAATTGACCTTTCCTGAAATCATGCAGTATTCTTATAAGACTTTAAATCTATTCCCATGCCAGAATCTTATCAATATATAAGAAATTTAGCGTGATTAGGTGCCAAAATACCCAGCACAATACTTGTATATTTTTATATCATACAGAACTAAAAAATCCCAGGAACTATGAACACTAGACCTTTATGTGGTTAATTCCTTCAGTCATTTCAAACTTTGAAGTTAGAACCTATATGATTATTTACCTGCTCAGATTGTGTTTACATCTCCCACATTCGTACCGGTATGCATCAGGTTTGCTCAACCATTGATTTTTTGTTTTTT